AGGGAGAGAGGGAAAGAGGGAGGGAGAGAGGGAGGGGAGGGAGGGAGAGGGAGGAAGAGGGAGGTAAGGAAAGAGATTGAGAGGGAGAGAGAGGGAGAGAGATTGAGAGGGAGGGAGGGAGGGAGAGAGGGGAGAGAACGGGGAGAGGGAAGGAGGAAGGAAGAGAGACAGTGAAGGAGAAAAAGAGGGGGTAAGAAAGAAGGGAGGGAGGGAGGAAGACAGGGGGAAGAGAAGAAATCTCTGTGGTTGGATCGACTATACGTTCCTTCACCAGAGCCCCACTTCCCCTACCTGAATAACAGCGTTGGAAGGGACCTTGGAGGTCTTCTAGTCCAACCCCCTACTCAGGCAAGAAAACTTACACCATTTCAGATGAATAGTTGCCCAATCTCCTCCTAAAAACCTCCAGCGACGGAGCACCCATAATTTCTGGTGGCCAGTAGTTCCACTGATTAATTGTTCAGACTCTCAGGAAATTCCTCCTTAGTTCTAGGCTGCTTCTTGTCGTGCTTTCCGGTGGGCTTCGCCCCCCCCCCAGCTTCTATAACCTGTTGTTCTCCTCGTCCGCAGGGTCCGGCCTGCAGCCCGCCCCCTCCTTGCGGCACCCCCAAGGGAAAGAAATCCTTGAACAAAGACAGCCTGGAGTACCGCCTGCGCCGCGAGCGCAACAACATCGCGGTGCGCAAAAGCCGCGACAAAGCCAAGCGCCGGGTGATGGAGACGCAACAACGCATGGTGGAACTGCTGGGGGAGAACGAACGGCTGCGCAGCCGGGTGGATCAACTGATGCAGGAAACCGAGACCCTCCGGGATATTTTCCGGCAGGTGCCCGAAGCCGCCGGGCTGATCAAGGGACTCGGGGGCTGCAGCTGAAGCCGGCCGGGGTTCGGGGTGCAAGGTGCAAAGAGGGGTGGCTGGAATCTAGAGGAACGAAGCTTTCGCATGTGTAAATAAAAAAAGGATCGTTGCTCGGCTATAACCATCTTGGGTGGTGAATTTGAATGGGTCTTCCAGGCCGCCCTACAGAATCTTGCAAGCAAGGATTGAAATCTGGGTGTGTGGAAGATCTGGTGTCCCCTTGTAAATCTGGCCCTCGGTTCTGCCTCAGTTTACCTTCCCCAAGAAGCAACCGAGTCGGAAGATAGTTTAAAAGCAGTTTATTAGGGTATAAAGTAAGATCTCTCTATGAAAAAGGAGAGAGAGACAACCCTGAACCCATCTTAAATTCCTTGCTACGAGGGCAATTCGGAGCACTGTTTCCCCTCCCCACACTCACAAACACACACACACACAATTTCTGCACGGCCCCTGTTAGCTTCTGTTTTCTTTGCCTGCCATCAAGTCTCTGTCTTAGGCTGATCCAGAGTGGAGCAATGCGACCGAGGCTTAAAAACAGGTGAGGGTTTTTGCCCCTGACGTGCGTTTTGTAAATTGCTCATTAACGTAATTACTTTGTATTTTAATTTGATTTATTTTTCTCTCTTTTAAAATGATGTTCAGGTTTCTTAGCTTGTAACATTCTTAACCTGATAAAACAAGCTGGAGACGAGCCCCAGATAAGAAAAAAAAGTTTGGGGGTCTGAATTAATCTCTTTTGTGAATTCCAAATCACGTTGTTCCTGACAATTGACGCTCCTTCTGACGTCAGGCCTCATTTTGATGAACATGGGTGATATTACGGGATGCAAATAGGTAACACGTTTGACTACATGTAAAGGGGAAGTTACTTTTATCCCGTCTGATCAAATTTGCTCTTTTGTTTTTCTTTGCTGTGCTAATTATACGAGGGCAATTCAGAAATAAACCCTCGTTTGGTTGTCAATGACCGACACTCGCAGATACCAAACTTTTATTATACTCATTAGAAAAGTATAACATGACATTTACTTTTCGACGTAATCGCCATTCAGATGGAGGCACGAGTCATCACGTCTTACAAAATTTGAAATGCCTTAGTAGGAGTCGCTCGGTGCCAAATCTGGGCTATATGGGGGGGTGATCAAAAACATCCCAAGGGAACTTCAAAAGTTCTTGGGCGGGTCTAGTGGTGTGCGGGCGAGCGTTATATCATGAACCAACACCACACCGGAAGTGGTGCCGTAGAAAATCGCGCCAAATGGGAAGATGCCAAAGGAGTACTTCTTGTGAAGTTCATAAAGCGTGATTCGACAATCAATTCAGACGTCTACTGTGAAACGTTACGAAAACTCAGAGAGCCTTCCATAACAAGCGTCGCGTCCTGCTGACTTCCGGTGTGGTGTCGGTTCACGACAATGCTCGCCTGCACACCGCCAGACGCACCCAAGAACTTTTGAAGCAGTTCCATTGGGATGCTTTTGATCACTTCCCCACCCCATTGCTCGGATTTGGCACCGAGCGACGACTACTAAGGCATTTCAAACCTTGTATGACGTGAGGACACGTGCCTCAATTGGAATGGTGATTATGTCAAAAAGTAATGTAACGTTGTAGTTTTCTAATGTGTATAATAAAAGTTCTGTATCTGCCAGTGTCTGTCATTGATAACCAAATGGAGGTTTATTTCCGAATTGCCCTCGTATAATTAACACAGCAAAGAAAAACGAAAGAGCAAATTTGATCGGACGGGATAAAAGTAACTTCCCCTTTGCACAGGGAATCAGCTACACGTAGTCAAATGTGTTACCTATTTGCATCCCGTAATATCACCCATGTTCATCAAAATGAGACTTGATGCCACAAGGGGCGTCAATTGTCAGGAATAAGGTGGTTTGGAATGTACAAAAGAGATTAATCCAGATCCCCAATTTGTACTAACAAACTTTTTTTCTTATCTGGGGCTCGTCTCCAGCCTGTTTATCAGTTTAGGAAGGTTAAAAGCTAAGAAACCCGAACATCATTTTAAAAGAGAGAAAAATTAAAATACAAAGTAATTACATTAGTTAGCAATTTACAAAATGCACGTCAGGAGCAAAACCCTCACCTGTTTTTAAGCCTCGGTCGCATTGCTCCACTCTGGATCACCCTAAGGCCGAGACTTGATGGCAGGTAAAGGAAACGGAAGCTAACAGTGGTTGTGCAGAAATTGTGTGTGTATGTGTTTGTGAGTGTGGGGAGGAGGCAACAGTGCTCGGGAGGCCTCAGGTGAGGTCCCTGGCCCAAGCCTACCTTGGTGACATTGTTCTTCTGTCCTGTCCCTAACCAGGAATTCCCAACTTTGATAACTTTAAGATTTGTGGACTTCAGTTCCCAGAATTCATCATCCAGTCATGCTGGCAAGGGAATCCTGGGAGTTGAAGTCCACAAGTCTTAAAGTGGCCAAGGTTGGGGACCCTTGCCCTAATTGATGGCTCACACCCCTCCCGATTTCTACACTCTGCATGAGTGTTTCTCAACCTTAGCAACTTTAAGATGTGTGGACTTCAACTCCCAGAATTCCACAGCCAGCATGCTGGCTGGGGAATTCTGGGAGTTGAAGTCCACACATCTGAATGTTGCCGCGTTTGCGAAACACCATCCTAAAGGGATTCGATCTTCTTCTCTCATTTCCAGTGTGGATTTCTGTCTGCAAGGGACCAAGTCACACAAGTTGACAAAGAAAACAGACCCACAAACACACCTCCCAGAGGTGGTGGGAACCTTCCCCTTTAACCGAGATAATGCCTACTTGTTTTGGACTCAGTTAATTACTGTAACAAGCTGATGATGGTTTAGGCCTGTGTTTCTCAAGCTTGGTCGCTTGGAGAATTGTGGACTTCAACTCCCAGAATTCCCCAGACAGCTAGGAGTTGAAGTCCACAATTCCCCAGGAATTCTGGGAGTTGAAGTCCACAATTCTCCAAGCGAGCAAGCTTGAGAAGCGCAGGTTTCGATCCACCTAGGACAAAATACTGTCCTTCTGAAGCACCTTCCAACATCTGAAGCAGATTTGGTGAAGGCCGAAAGCCTGTTTTCAAAATGGAAGGGAGGGTGAGCCCACCTATCATAAGGGATATCCCAGGAGTAGGCAACCTTGGCTCTTTTATGACTCGTGGACTTCAACTCCCAGAATTCCTGAGCCAGTATGAGGGAAACTTTGGCCCCTTCATGACTCGTGGACTTCAACTCCCAGAATTCCTGAGCCAGCATGAGGGAAACTTTGGCCCCCTCATGACTCGTGGACTTCAACTCCCAGAATTCCTGAGCCAGCATGAGGGAAACTTTGGCCCCTTCACGACTCGTGGACTTCAACTCCCAGAATTCCTGAGCCAGCATGAGGGAAACTTTGGCCCCTTCACGACTCGTGGACTTCAACTCCCAGAATTCCTGAGCCAGCATGGCTCAGCTTGGAAACCTCTCCCTTTCCCCTCAGTATGGCCGGCTCAGGAATTCTGGGAGTTGAAGTCCACGAGTCATAAAAGAGCCAAGGTTGCCTACCCCTGGACCTTCTCAAAGCCAAATCTAAATATTTTTCCATCTCACCCCTGTGTCCCATGTGGTGGCATTTAGTAGAACACCGTCTCACCCATTTCATTAATTACAAACTCCTTAAACTGAGTTCACCTACATGTCAATCTCCTCTCGAGGGAATCTCTTAAATTCTGGATTTTAAGGACAGGCAGGCCTCAACTTACGACTATCTGTTTAATGATCGTTCGAATGGCACTGGAAAAAAAGCGACAAAAGAGCATTTTTCACATGTAACGATCGTCGCAGCATTCCCTCTGGCCATGTGAGCAAACTTGAGACGCTTGGCAACCGACTCGCATTTATGACGGTCGCAGCATGGCCGGGGGTGTCACGCGATCCCCTTTTGTGACCTTCTGACGAGCAAAATCAATGGGGGAGGGAAAGCCAGATTCACTTAATGACCGTGTGACTCACTTAGCAATGTTAGTGATTCACTTAACAACCGCGGCCGGGAAGATCGTAAAAGGGGGCAAAATCCACCGAACCAATCTCTCGCTTAGCCACAGAAACATTGTGTTCGTAAGTCAAGGACTACCTGGACTTAACTTTAAGGAAATGGAGCCGGGGGGGGGGTTGAAGCTTTTGGAGTTATTTCTTCTTTAGAAAAAAAAGAAAGGGAAAAAGAAAAAAAGAAACGTAAGCAGGGGAGAACTGTTTTTATTGCCCTTGGAGAAGCAAAACACGGATTGATCCGAAACAAATGGCCAGCGTCCAGTCCAGGAGCAGAAAAGTGCTTCACGCAACAGATGTCAAACTGGATTAAAAACCACAGGGTGAGATGGGTTTTCTTGTGGTTAGGGTGATTGCAGGCTTTCAGACGCGAATTTTTCCCAGCCCTTTCAGATGCGAATTTTTCCCAACATGCTTCCAAGTCAAGCATGTTATTTTTAGGGAGAAAGAGCACCCCAATGTGCAGAAAAGGATGGCTATCAACCATAATGAGAATAGAATAGGACAGAACAGAATAGAATAGAACAGTGGTGGCGAACCTATGGCACGCGTGCCAGAGGCGGCACTCAGAGCCCTCTCTGTGGGCACGCGTGTCGTGCCCCGGAGATGGCGAAGGGACTGGCCCCTGCCGCCCTGGCACTGCCCACCCAGTCTGCCATGACCACTGCAGCCACGCCCACCCGGCACCCGGTGATAAATAAGTGGGTTTTGGTTTGCAGTTTGGGCATTGGGTCTCTAAAAGGTTCGCCATCACTGGAATAGAATAATAAAATACAGAATAGAATGGAATGGCATAGAATAATAATTAGAAGAGAAGAGAAGAGAAGAGAAGAAGAATTGGAATAGAATAGAATAATAATTAGAATAGAATAGAATAGAATAATAATTAGAATAGAATAGAATAGAATAGAATGGAATAGAATAGAATAATAATTAGAATAGAATAGAATAATAAAATACAGAATAGAATGGAATGCAATAATTAGAATAGAATA